AAAGCAAAAATTCAAGGGGAGGAGGAGATGTAGCTTATACAATTGTGCCTTTTAACAACCTGGAATGTAGTGTCTGAGAGGGAAACAGATTCAATGGACGTGTGTTACAGATGATCCCAGAGGTTGTATGTTTTTGTAATTCACACACAGCATGTTGGCAATGCTGGCTAGGGCAGCATTTATTGTCAGTCACAAGGGGACGGTTGCTGTGGGTCTGGGAGACACGTGTAGCTTGGTCTGTGTAAGGATAGCAGTTACCTTCCCTGAAGGATATTAGTGAATCATTGTGCTGCTGTGGCTACATACACTTCTACATGCACGCTACTACCTGGAGTTAGGGATTAAGATGGTGGGAGGCTCCCATTTCTTTCGGTCACATGGCTAACCAGGAATGGCTAACTACCTCACTCCTGTTTCCCTCCAGCCTGGATGGATTTACAGGTTGATATTCCGTTTCTGGCTAACAGGCTGGGACACTACCCCTGTACAAAAAGACCTCCTGCAGCAGGCTGAACAGTTGCATCCAAAAGGGAATTGAATAAACCCTTAAAAGATAAGTGACAGGATTTTACACTGTAGGGATTCTACGATGCCAGAAGAGAACGTGGGTTTCATTGGATAGCTTTGTCAATGGTTCAGCACAGACATAATGGGATGAATGGCCTCTTCCTGCAATATCCCTATGTGTGATTATATATCTCTGCTTGTCTATCCATATATATAAATGCACACATGTATCTCTAAATGTCTTTAGACATATAAATAAAGGAAGGTGATTTGGCACCATGCCTTTTACTAATTGAAGTCACAGGCTCATAAACAGGAAAATCTAAGCCTGAATTGCAGCTAAGTTTCTAAAATGGCCCCTACGTACAGTGACATCAGGGTTCAAGTCCCAGCCTGCCACACAGGTGTGTTGTAACAAGTCGATTAAAACAATGATAAAGGAAGAGTTTGGGCCTGTGATGCATGAGGAAGTACCAGCTTGTGAGTGGAAGTTGCTTGAACTAGATTGGGAAACTTTAGGAGGCACAAGCTTACTGACATTTCTGCTCCCTCTGGACATGATTTTAATGGATGTATGTTCCAGCAAGTGGACTTAAGAGAGCCATGAATGCTCAGCTGTTGTGTATATTCAAGGCAGTGATCGATAACCCATTGTGTACCAAAGGGAATTCAGACATATGGGAATGTTGGGGAAAATGGCTCACAGAATCAGTCCTGATCTTACTGAATGGTAGAACAGGCTTGAGGGGCCAAATGGCCAGAGAGGAAGAATTTTTTTCAGCCAGAGCATGGTGAATCTGTGGAACTCGTTGCTGCAGAGGGCTGTGGAGGCCAAATCATTGAGTGTCTTTAAGACAGAGACAGATAGGTCCTTGATTAGTAAAGGGATCAAAGGTTTTGGCGAGACAGCAGAAGAATGGCGTTGTGAAACCTATTAACCATGATCGTATGTTGGAGCAGACAGAATGGGCCAAATTCTGTTTCTTTTTTTTTAATTCATTTACAGCATGAGGGCATTGCTGGCTGAGCCAGCATTTATTGCCCATCCATAATTTCTCCGAGAACAGTTAAGGATCAACCACATTGCTCTGGGTCTGGAGTCACATGTAGGCCAGACAGGCAAGGATAGCAGTTTCCCTCCCTAAAGGACATTATTGAAACAGATGGGTTTTTTTCTGGCAATCGACAGTCATCGTTAGATTCTTAATTTCAGGAGATAGCAAGGACTGCAGATGCTGTAACTCAGAGTCAGTACAGTGTGGAGCTGGAGGAGGCCCTTCGCTTCCCCCTCATCTCCATGCAAGCCCCAAACAATCATTCCATATCTGACAGGGATTCACCTGGTCTGTCGCATCTGTTGCTCTGATGTAGTCTCCCCTACACTGGGGAGACCAAGTGTAGACTCGGTGTCAGATTCATACAGCATCTGCACTCTGTAAGCTCCAATCACACCACCTTCCGGTTGCAGGGCATTTCAACTCCCCCCCTCCCACTCCCTGGGGAACATGTCCATCCTGGGCTACCTGCAATGTCACAATGAGGCTGCATAAACATTGCAGGAACAACACCTTATATTCCGCCTCCAGAAGCTTACAGCCCAATGTGCTCAACATAGAATTCACTAGTGTCAAAATCTCCTCACTCTTGGCCTCATCTCATGGCCAGCCCTCCCCTCTTCCCGCTTCCTTGACCTGACATAACCTGTCCATCTTCCTTCTCGCCTATCCACTCCACCCTTCCCATTGACCAACTCCCAAGCTGCATCCACCTAACACCACCCCACCTACCTTCGCCCAACTCAACACCCCTCTCCAATTATTTCTGTGCTCCCTTTCTCAGTCCTGATGACAGGTCCTGACTAGGAATATCGAATTTCCTGTTCCTCTGATGCTGCCTGACCTGTGTTCGTGTTCCTCTCCCTCCATCCTGTATTGACTCTTAATTCCAGATTGATTTTTAATGCCATCTGCCATGGCAGGATTCGAACCTGGGTGCCCAGAACATTATCTGGGTCTCTGGATGAACAGTCTAACAATAATACCACTAGCCATTGCCTTCTCGATCCTCCATGCTCCTACATCTTATGGTCTTATGGACTCCTACCCCTGTGTTTTATATTCTTCTGAATAATAATCACATGTTTAGTTCTGGGTTTACAGGGTTAGTCAAAAAGCCTGGACTTTGGGTGAGGGATTGGTGCTTGTTGTGCATTATATTTCTAGCAGATTTTTTGTGGACTTTTCAACTCCAATACATAAGAACTGGAGAGCCATTTCAGCTGCTACAAGGGATCTGGGAAAAGATCATGTCTCCTCAAGCAATCAGATTGAAGAACTCTGACTGAGACAGGCACAGCATAAACTAGGAAGTATAAGTTTAAATATTTAATTCAATGGAAAACAGGTTTGAGAAAAAGGGGAAGATAGGGTTACACAAGAAAGGCAAAACACAGAAATGAAAAGTTAAAATCAGAGCTTTTCGGTTCAGTTTTTTTTATGTCTTCGGTAAAAGCTTAAAACCTGAAGGAATGAATATCCACACACGTAAAAGTAAAATTTTCAATGCTAGAAAAGTTGTTAGGCATCAAAGAAGACTTAGCTCACCTGTAAAAATTTACTTAGTTTAATGTGCAAACCCAAATTGCCATTGCTGTTTATTCTGTGAACAAGACGGAAATATTTTATCATTATTCAAGATTGTCTAAGATCAGACTTGTTAATCTAGAGCCAGTGAAAATATTTACAAATGAAGCCCTAAAGCAATTTTGTGTAAAATATTAATCATTCAGTGGAATGACCTTTTATTTTGAAATGCCGCTGGACGATAGTTTCTGGATTGGTAAGTTCTGCTTATCTTTGACGTATTTCATGATGGCTCGAAATCAAATGGAAGTGAATTTTGAAGCCAGTATCATGTTGTGAGGTCCTGCAGCTAACAGCATTTCATACTTTGAGCCTGTTGAGGAATTGAAGTCATGTGTTCTGGGAAATCCTAAACATACATTGGCAAGATTAAATCATGACTCCTGAATAGCAGATGATCTTGCTTTTGAAATCTTTCAGTGAATTTTCAAGGAGAATTAAATGGAGTTGCCTACAAATCACAGCATTGAGACAGACTGTGCTGCCCAGTTGCTCTGTGCTAGAGATCCTACACCACACAAGACTCCTCCCACTCCCTCTCCATTTCAGCCTATCACCAGAGCCTTCTATTCCTTTCTGCTTCATGTTTATCCAGCTTCCCCTTAAAGGTATGGGTACAATTCATCTTGACCATTCCCTGGGTAAGGACTTCCACATTCTCTCACTTTGTGTAAAGAAAATTGAAACATAGAGAATTGGAATAGAATTAGAACATTTGGTGCTTTGAGCCTGCTCTACCGTTCGGCATGATCACGGTTAATCATTTAATTCAGTCCTCTGTTCCCACTTTCTCCCCATACCCTTTGATCCCTTTAGTCCTAAGAATTGTATCGATAACTCATTCCTGAAAACATTCAATGTTTTGACCACAAACGCTGTCAGTTGCTCCCCTGCTAGTCTGTTGACACAACCACTATTGCCACTATCTCCCCTGGACTCAATCACCTTGCCTCCTCCATTGATTAACTTAACGTGGTTCAACTCCCATCCTCCCACAGCCCCTCAGAAAGCAGGCAGACCCCTGGTTACCTGATTGGATGATTCTTGACCATCACTCTATTCACCCCTTTCACATTTCTGATACTTTCATAGATAAGAACATTGTTCATCAATAATTAATGGTTTGATTAATTCTTCAGTGATGTAGTTTGAAAACAAACTGATATCATGTATGATGCAGCACAGACATGTGAATCATGAAGGGTGACAAAATGTCTCTAAAGAGATTCAATGTTTGATCAAGTTGTTCCCAAACTCATCACAATGACTGTTTTACTGCATGCTGCCCCTTAATTTGTGATCAGCTGATTTATTTGTGTGTCTTATTGGTACAAGTTAAGATTGGATGTGGCTTTCAAACTCATAGCCAATCATGTATCATGTTCTGAGAAAGGTCACTCGATCCAAAATGCTAACTCTGAATTCTGTCCACACATACTGCCTGACCTGAGGTTTTTCTAGCAATTTCTGTTTATATATCATGTTACTTTGCATCGAATATGACTCCAATTCAATGAAATATGATTAAACCACGAGCTCCAAAGAATGATGAGAATGTACAGATCATTCCCGCACAGAGTGCTTACAGCAGCTGAGATGAATGCAAATGTTTGGATGGATTGGAACATGAGGGAGAAATGATTAGATTGCATTACTATTAGGAGCAGAAAAATTAAAAGACTGGAGAATGGTGAGGGTGACTCGTTTGGAGTATAAATCCATGCATGCAATTGATGGGCTTAATGGTTGGTTTTTGTAAAATTCTCTGTCAAAAGCATGATACGCTGTGGAAGGTTGCAGACTTCAAAGCAACTTTTAAGGTTGACTGATCTGGAGTTTATTTCTCTTCAGGAAATCCCTCCTTTTCTTGCTGGTGATATGTTTGACGGCTGGAATTGCACCAAGCCACATCCAAGGTAAGACTGTATTTCTGTTGACATCTCCTATCGTGCTGCAGGACAACTTTTCTTGCCTCTCATCAGCAGCCTGTAACCTACATCTTGGAGACTTACTGTAATTATTCACATTGTATAAAAAAAAGTACTTGAAACAATTTTTCATCTCCGATATGCCAAAGCATCCAATCTGTTAAACCCTCTCCCTTGCAGGATGCTTTCTGTATCTCTATCAGAAGGCTACAGCATGCTGCTATATGTGTAGGCATCCTGAAATAAGTGGGCACAAGCTGGCAAATACAATATAATGATGAAAATGTGAAGTTCCAAGAACTTTTGGAATACTCCATTTAACTCTGCTCTCCTTGCTATAGGAAAGAAAAGGATTCGGAAAAGATTTATGAGGATATTGCCGGGATTGGAGAGTTGAGCAAAAGGGAGAGGCTGACTAGGCTGGGGCTAATTTCCCTGGAGCATCGGAGGCTGAGGGGTGACCTTGTAGAAGTTTATAAAATCATGAAGGGCGTGGATAGGGTGAATGGCCAAAGTCTTTTCCCCAGGGTAGAGGAATCCAAAATGAGAGGGCGTAGGTTTAAGGTGAGAGGGGATAAAGGGACCCAAGGGGCAACTTTTTCACGCAGAGGGTGGTGCGTATATGGAATGAGCTGCCAGAGGAAGTGGTGGAGTCTGGTTCAACTACAACATTTAAAAGGCATCTGGATGAGTACATAAATAGGAAAGGTTTAGAGGGATATGGGACAAATGCTGGCAAATGGAGTTGCATTAATGTAGGATATCTGGTCAGCATGGACAATTTGGACCAAAGGGTCTGTGACACTATAACTATAGAATCATTCAGTATAGAAGAGGATCTTTAGCCCATCAATTTGATACTGTCAATAGTTGTTCGTTTTGGAAAGGAAAACAAAAGAACAGAGTATTATTTAAATACAGAAAAATGTGCAGAAAGCTACAAAAAGGGGACTTTAGGGGAGCTTGTGCACAAAGCACAGAAAGCTAGCACACAGGTGCAGCAGATAATCAGGAAGACTAATGGAATGTTGGCCCTTATTTCAAGGGTGTTGGAGTGTAAGAGTAGGGAAGGCTTATCGCAACTGATGAGACCACACCTGGAGTACTGTGAGCAGTTTTGGCCCCATATTTAAGGAAATATATCATTTCATTGGAGGTAGTTGAGGGAAGGTTCACGGGGATGATCCCTGGTATGGAGGGATTGTCTTGTGAATAAAGGTTAATCAGGTTGGGATTCTACTCACTGGTGTGTGGAGGAATGAGAGGTGATCTGGTTGAAACATATAAGCTTCTTAAGGGGCTTGATGGGTAAATGTTGACAGTATGTCATGGGGGAGTCTAGCAGAGGGCATAGTCTCAGAATAAAGGGGCACCAATTTAAGATTGAGATTAGGAGGAATTTCTTGTCTCGGGTGATCGTGAGTCTTTGGAACTTCTTGTTCCAGAGCACTGTGGCGGCAGAGTCCTTGTGTATATTTAAGGCTGAGATAGATAGATTCTTGGATAGTAGGCGAGTCAAGGTTTATGACGAAAGGACAGGAAAGTATCATGAGGAATGCCAGATCTGATATGTTTCTATTGAATGAGGGAATAGGCTTGAGGAGCCAAACAGCCGTCTCCTGTTCCTATTTCTTATGAAAATCCAAGGTGTGCTTCAGTATGAGGTAGATGAAAGATGTGCTAACAGGAAGGTTTGACAGTAAATTTTTTGCACATTGTTTGTCCCAGAACTTGCTGGAGCAGTGAACATTAGATATCAGTGAGTCGGACTTTCACCCACAGCTCTCAGCTTCTTGTGCTGTGAACGTTGCTGGAGGCAGGAGGTGAGATGTACTGAGAGGAACCAGCAACATCCATGTCAGTGCACGATGTAACTGATGGTCTATCTCCTTAGCTAGTGAAACTCATGGATAAAAACAGATGTACAAGGAAGGAGAAAGTTTTGAATTAGAGTCAAATCCATCCTAGAAAGATAAATAATGGCGAGAAAAGAAAGACTCTGAGGAGAAAAGTAAGAAAATAAGTCAAAATTTAGAAACAGCCCAAGAATATTTTGCTATATACACAGGTAAGTTACAATTCAATCCCCTCTCAGTCTGTCAGAACCATTCACCAACAGGGTCCTGAAAGTGTGAATTAGCAACCTTCATTTTCATTGTTGATTTAAATTTCTATTTATTACCAATCCAGCAGTGTATTGTTGCTGCTGGATATGTTAAGCTCAAACCTGTTTATTTTTCATGTCATGCAGTAATAACTCTGCTCCTTTAACTCACTGTTGCATTCCCAGTCTGGAGACTGTTTAACTGGGAAACTAAATGCTTGTTTTCATCAGCACAGGACAGAACACAACAGGGTAATATGTACTACTCGGAGATAGTAAGAACTGCCGATGCTGGAGTCAGAGATAACACAGCGTGGAGCTGGACGAACACAATAGGCCAGGCAGCATCAGAGAAGCATCTGAAGAAGGATCCCAACTCGAAACGTCAGCTTTCCTGCTCCTCTGATTCTGCCTGCTGTGTTCCTCCAGCTCTACACTGTGTTATGTCAGGGCAATGTGTACCTTTAGGGTTCCCCGTTAAAACCACTAACAACAACATAAGAATCTGAGCTGAAAAAAAAATAAAATAAATGTCCAGGATCAAGAGCCGGAAGTGTTTGTGGAGCATCTTCTTCAGTTCCACTTCAGGTTTCTTGAAATAAATTGTTTGTACAGCGATGGGATGTGTACAAAATGATCAGAGGTATAGATAGCATGGACAGCCAGAGACTTTTTCCTAGGGTGGAGGTAGCTATTACGAGGGGGCATAGTTTTAAAGTGAGTGGAGGTAGATAAAGGGGAGGCGTCAGAGGTAGGTTCTTTACTCAGAGAGTGGTCGGGGCGTGGAATGCATTGCTGGAGAGGGTAGTGGAGTCTGCCTCATTAGGGGCATTTAAGCAGCTATTAGATAGGCATATGGATGATAGTATAAGGTAGGGGTGGAGGTTAGATAGACCTTTTAGGTTTAGGGTAAAAGTTTGGCACAACATTGTGGGCCGAAGGGCCTGTGCTGTGCTGTACTGTTCCATGTTCTACTCACTTTGAAAAGGGACAGCTGCTGATCTTGACCATAGGAACCTACAATAATGCAGTCATAGAATGACAGAGCACAGAAAGATGCCATTCAGCCCATCGTGCCTGTGTTAATGTAGAAACATAAAAGATAGGGGCAGGAGGAGGCCATTCAGCCTTTCGAACCTGGTCCGCCATTCCTCATAATCGAAGTTGATCGTCCAACTCAACAGCCTAATCCTGCTTTCTCCCCATAGTCTTTGATCCCATTCAGCCCAAATGCTGCATCTAGTCGCTTCTTGAATACATTCAATGTTTTGGCATCAACTGCTTCCTGCGGTAATGAATTCCACAGGCTCACCACTCTTTGGGTGAAGCAATGTCTCTTCATCTTTGTCATAAATGGTCTACTCCGAATCCTCAGACTGTGACTCCTGGTTCTGGGCATGCCCACCATTGGGAACATCCTCCCTGCATCTATCGTGTCCAGTCCTGTTAGAATTTTAAGTCTCTGAGATCTCCCCCACAGTACCCCCCCCCCCCCACCCCACCACCCTTAATCTGAACTCCAGCAAAAACAATCCCAGCTGAGTCAATTTCTCCTCATACGTTAGACCTGCCATCTCTGGAATTAGCCTGGTAAACCTTCGCTGCACTCCCTCGTGAGCAAAATCATCCTTCCTTCTGATCTGGAGGAAGGTATAGATGTCCGATTAGCAAGTTTGCAGATGACAGTAGGATTGGTGGAGTAGCAGATAGTGAAGGGGACTGTCGGAGAATGCAGACGAATATAAATAGATTGGAGAGTTGGGTGGAGAAATGGCAGATGGAGTTCAATCCAGGCAAATGCGAGGTGATGCATTTTGGAAGATCCAATTCAAGAGCGAACTATATGGTAAATGGAAAAGCCCTGGGGAAAATTGATGCACAGAGATCTGGGTGTTCAGGTCCATTGTAACCTGAAGATGGCAATGCAGGTGGATAGATTGGTCAAGAAGGCATACGGCATGCTTTCATTCATCGGACGGGGTACTGAGTACAAGAGTTGGCAGGTCATGTTACAGTTGTATAGGACTTTGGTTCGACCACATTTGGAATACTGCGTACAGTTCTGGTCACCACATTACCAAAAGGATGTGGATGCTTTGGAGAGGGTGCAGAGGAGGTTCACCAGGATGTTGCCTGGTATGGAGGGCGCTAGCTATGAAGAGAGGTTGAGTAGATTAGGATTATTTACATTAGAAAGACGGAGGTTAAGGGGGGACCTGATTGAGGTCTACAAAATCATGAGGGGTATAGACAGGGTGGATAGCAAGAAGCTTTTTCCCCAGAGTGGGAGACTCAATTACTAGGGGTCACGATTTCAAGGTGAGAGGGGACAAGTTTAAGGGAGATATGCGTAGAAAGTTCTTTACGCAGAGGGTGGTGGGTGTGTGGAACATGTTGCCAGCAGAGATGGTAGAGGCAGGCATGATAGCGTCATTTAAGATGTATCTAGACAGATACATAAATGGGGAGGGAGCAAAGGGATACAGATCCTTGGAAAATAGGTGACAGGTTTAGATAAAGGACCTGGATCGGTGCAGGCTTGGAGGGCTGAAGGGCCTGTTCCTGTGCTGTAATTTTCTTTGTTCTTTGTTCCTCAGAAAAGGAGACCAAAACTGCACACAATATTCTAGGTGTGGTCTCACCAAGGCCCTGTGTAACTGCAACAACACATCCCTGCTCCTGTACTCGAAACCTCTCGCAATGAAGGCCAACATACCATTTACCTTCTTTACCACCTGCTGCACCTGCAGCTTACCTTCAGCGACAGGTCCACAAGGACACCCAGGTCCCACTGTACATTCCCCTCTCCCAGTTTACAGCCATCCAGGTAGTAATCTGTCTTCTTGTTTTTGCCTCCAAAGTGAATAACCTCACATTTATCCAA